CGCAGGCACCAGATTCCCAAAAGCCTGCCCATGCAGCAGAGACAGATCCCGATCCCCCTGCCTGGGTGCCCCCCAAACAGTTCGAGCCAAACAACCATCTTCCGTATTCAGAGAGCCTAGTCCGGTCCCACGGGGGCTCCACAGCCACTAGTCTACAGTTCATGCACTTCCACCAGTGTGGTCAGTCATCTGCACATATTCACATCATGATCTCCATGTCCCCCACCAGCAGAATCCCTCCTCTTTCTCATTGATTGGATTCCTGGTGCCCAGCCTGGTGCCTGGCTGTGGATCTCTGCATCTGTTTCCATCAGTCACTTGCCAAAAGCTCTATGATGGCGGTTAGGGTATTCACTAGACTGGTCACCAGAGTAGACCAGTCCTGGCACCCTCTAGACCATTGCCAGTACTCCCAGGTGGGGTCATCCTTGTGGATTCCTCAGAGTCACCCTGGCATCCTGTTCTCATCTATAATGGTATCTCCCTCCCAACCCTCCCACTCTGTCCCTGTTCCAGCTTGACCTTCCCATTTCTCTATGATTTCTCTATGTTTTCATTCCCCACTCCTCGCCCTCCACCCCTACCCCCACTCCCAGTCTGCTCATCCACTTCTCCTTCGCTGGCCCATTCATGTGTCCCTCTCAGGGTCTTTCCCTGTTAGCTAGCCTCTCTGGAGCTGTGGGTTGCATTCTGGCCATTCCTTCCCTCACATCTAGTATCCACTTACGAGTGAGTACATACTATGTTCATATCAGCATTGTTTGTAATAGCAAGAACCTGAAAACAACCTAGATGCCCCTCAACTGAAGAATGGATAATGAAAATGTGGCACATATACACAATGGAGTACTACTCAGCAGTAAAAAACAATGACATCATGAAATTTGCAGGCAAATGAACAGAACTAGAAAATATCATCCTGAGTGAGGTAACTCAGACTCAGAAGGACAAACATAGTATGTACTCACTCATAAGTGGATACTAGATGAGAGGGAAGGGATGGCCAAACTGCAACCCTATTTATAAAACCTTCCCTTTTTATTTAGACAAAAAAAAGGAGAATTGTATGATATTTTGTTGTGTTTGACAAATAAAGCTTGCATCGAGTCAGAGGTCACAGCTAGCCACTAGTTAACCATAGAGATGTGGAGGATGATAGAGAGAGGGACAAAAAGTGGTAAGGTGAGGTTGATACCGGGTCTCAGCCCTTTTGGTTAGAGGAACCAGAGAGGTTGAAAGCAACTGTGGCTGTTCACCTGCTTTTCTGATCTTTCAGATTTTTACTCAGATATCTGACTCCTGGTTTTTATTGGTAATATTAATTAGATTTATTCGTCATGTGGTTGCTTGAGCATATATTCCAGTGACTTGAATGAAGCCAGAATGTCATAACCAAATAGTTAAACAAAAGCAAGCAAACAAACAAACGAAAAATCAAAGGCAGCCCATCAACTATGAGAGATTATATATTTTGGAGAGGTCTTAAATTAGATCACATATTACCAATGAAAGTGAATAAATTGGATTGCAATTCTATAACTTACTTTACACCATCTTGAGTAAGTGAAATAAACCTTAATAAAGCTGTAAATAATGTATTTATACAGTGGGATTACTATATAGTTAATATGAAAGTGGCTTAAAAATAAAGCATGATGAATCAATGTACATTATCCTTTAATAGTATGTTAAGGGCACATAAGGAGTGGAAGAGGACTAATAGTATGTTATTAACTGATTTCACAAAATAAATAACTTGGTTATTTTAATTCTCCTGATAGTATAAGCGGGATATTCTCAGAGGAATCTGAGAAGGTGACATATTTCAAATTCCCAAGTGCTTCTGAATTTTTTATTATTATTGTTTCTCCAGCTCCATGAGTCAGATTCAGAAACATTGCTTTTAAGGGCTTATTTGGAAGGTGGTGTGAGGAAGGTTAATGATGACTGTTGATATTTACAGGTTCTGTGGAGCAAAGTAAAGAACAAGATGTAGACCAAAGAGAATTGAACTTATATCTTTAGATCTGTTCTTCAGTAAATGTTTATGATGGAGGACAAGGCTGAATCCCTCCATGCCTAATTATTTTTTCCTATTGATTAAAAGAAACTGTAACATATACAAATGACTAACTTTCAAGCTGGATTTTACAACTTGACAAATTATTGATATTGCTTAAGAAGGCAAGTGGGCTAAATTTTCTTAGCTCTAAAACATTCCATAATGCATTTTGTGACCATAGAAAGAACACAAGAGATAAGAAATGAATAATAGAATATTCAGAAAGGCATTGAAATTTCTTCAAAAATGTGTTTCTTAACTGAGAATAATATATTTTTCAAGAATAATATTAAATAGAGGTGATAACATAACCATGCTGCGTTGCTGTATTAATTTCTCACATTTTGTCTGTGTAAAATTTATGTAATTACATATTTCCCTCAAAATATATCACATTAATAATACAGCATTGAGCTTATGCCTACCAACTAAAAGATTTTTCATTTTTAATTCCTACAGGAAGGGATGACTTTTTAAAAAGTGGGTTTTGTGACATAGCCTTTGTACTGTTGGCTTTTTAGTAATGGTGTCAATCCCTTTCTGCCATACATGGAAATCATTTTCTCTTGAGAGAGTTTTTCATGGAAAAGTGATCAGGTGGTTCTACATGTGTTGCTGTATGAGAGGTGAGTGAAAACATGGTGATTGGTCAAAGCTGCATCTTTCAGAATTGTGTCTGAGAGGAGCCAAATTCAAGAACTTCTTTCTTGGCAAAAGCCATGATAATCTGACTTGATAACATTCAGGAGCTGATTGGTGCCTCATGTTCCCAAATTTTAACTCCCTTGTCACAAGAGGTAAGTTCTTATTATTTCAACACGGTGAAAATCTCAAATAAATACTTCAGGACTTGGCGGTTGGACTATAATTTCCTAGTCATACTCCCCACTATATCTCTAGTACAAAAAACATTTGGAATAATTGGACAGGGGACTCACAAGTAGAGATTTCCTGTTTGTGTTTGGAGGAGAGAGGCTGCTTAGTAATCAAGTAGAAAAAGTATGATTTCAAAGAGAAGGGTAGCAGAGTAACTACTCATGAAGTGAACATTCTTTGTGCCAGGAAATTACATTTGTCATTTGTGTTTGAAATGTAATTATGTGAGACAAACAATGTCACCATTTTCATAATTGGTATATTGTTTTAAAAATGTTCAAAAAAGTAAGTAGCTGATGCTGACAACTTTTATATATATATATTTGTTGATAATTAGAGGAACTTTTCTCCCTTTCATCTTTACCTTTGCTAAAGTCAGGTACCTTCAAATTACAGAATATTTGTAAGAGACAGGGGTCAAATGCATTTATGTACATTTCAGGTTAAAGCTAGGGTTATAGTCTTCCAAGTGACATTAAACAACTTCCTTAAATTCTCTAAGACTCATTTATTTTATTTATTAAATAGGGATAATAGTATACAACTTACTATCAATCTAAAGATAATTGAGTCTGTTTCTTGACAAGCATTCAAACAAATGTTGTGTTCTAACTGAGGTCAGTACACATGACATTGTTTCAACAGTAGCAATAGATTCTTTTGGGGGGGTAATATGAATGAAAACTTTGGGTGATTTTACTATATTCTCTTTTCTCATTTCCCTTGCAAACAATTATTTTTATTAGTGCTGCCCTTTCAATGGGATCATTACCTAAACACCCCAACAAGACTTTTGCTTCTCCTCTCATTCTTTCATATCTTATCCATCATAGAACAGTTAGAGCAATATGCACAAAAGCTAAGTAAGTTGATGTCTCTATTCTGTATAAAGACTGGAGGCTTGACTTGTCATCCAAAATAAAACCACACTCTTGAATATAGCCTTGAAAACCCTAAAAGATCTACAACAAACTCTCTTTATTCACTGAATCTAACCCCAGGATGCTTTTGTTTACTGATACAACCTTTGCTCCTTCCATGGGGATTCATCCTACCTGTATTTGTATCTGGAGCTTCATAGTAAGTATATTCTTACCTTCTCTCTTACTCACTTCCAATCTAGATATGGATTCCTAGTCAGTGAAGACTTTCTTTTTTTGCCTTATAGGAAGTAATGGTTTTCCTAAGACTCCATAATATCATTATTTTGCTGTTATTCTCACATCAAGTGCTGCACTCTAATCATCTATATAATTCTATTTTTGACTCCATATATTCATTTCATATGGGAATATTAAAAGACTTTACCTTTATTTTTAATATATATACATATATATATATAAACTTCAGATCATGGACTGAAAGACATATAATGGATAGTAATGTATATAATATGATATAATATAATATAATGTATTATAATATAATATAATTAATATAATATAATAGACAGCATATAATAGACAATAAATATTGAATATGACATTTTAAAAAATTTCTAAACAAATCTGGTTAATAAGTACATCTTAAAATTATAGTATATTTAAGTAAGTTTTCTCTTACATACACACACTCACACACACACACACACACTGTTTTATAGATATACTCCATGACAACACTGATTTTTTGAGATTAATTTTAAATTAATATATAACTATACTTATACTATTTAACTCTGGGTGGGAGTGAAATTGAAAGCTTCATCTGAAGTTCTCTAATAGAATATTCTGTTTCTGCTTGAGTTCATATAAAAATAAGCCCCTAATATATATAGTTTCAGAAAAACCCATGGCCAAGACAGAGGAAAAACATGTGACTTGTGTAATTTTTTTTTGAAAGAATTGTCTATTGACCACATGTAAGAAGATTGCAGGATCCTTGTAAAATGTTGAAATTGATTCTAATTTCTTTTTATAAAATAGATGAAATATCATGTTTCTTCTCTTTTGCATACCATGAAACATAATGGTCTTTTATTTTTATTAAAATGATTTTCTCTTATGTATACATAGGAAGTATGTTTCTCATCAATTTTGCTATTAAGATTCTTTTTTTTTCCAGGATAACTCAGTACTTCTAAGCTCCCCAGAATCGTTCAAATGAAAGAAACCAGAATGAATGTGACTGAATTCATCCTCATGGGGCTGACACAGAATCCCCAGTTGCAGAGAATTCTTCTTTTGATGTTAATCATCACCTACGTCGTCACTGTCACAGGAAACCTGCTTATTGTGTGTACCATAGTCTGTAGCCAGACTCTGAACTCCCCAATGTACTTCTTCCTGGCTTTTTTATCTCTCATAGATGCATGCTATTCCTCTTCTATCATCCCCAAAATGATGGCAGATTTGCTCTCAGAAACAAAAACCATCTCATTCAGTGGGTGTATGATACAACTTTTTGTTGAGCATTTCTTAGGAGCTTCGGAGATTGTCCTCCTTGTGGTCATGGCTTATGACCGCTATGTGGCCATTTGTAGACCTCTGCACTATGTGACTAGGATGAACCACCATACTTGCCGTCTCCTAGTGGGGATATGCTGGATAATGGGTTTTCTTCACTCTTTTGGGCAGATACTTGTTACTCTCTGGATTCCTTTCTGTGGTCCTAATGTCATGGACCATTTCTGTTGTGACATCTTCCCCCTGCTACAGCTGGCCTGTGCTGACACTTTCCTCCTTGGTCTCCTGGTTGCTGCCAATGGTGGTGTAATTCCTGTGATCACCTTCACTATGCTTCTGGTGTCCTATGTGGTCATTCTGTGCTCCTTGAGGACACACAGCTCTGCAGGGAGGAAAAAAGCCCTCTCTACCTGTGGCTCCCACATCACAGTCGTTGTCTTATTCTTTGTGCCTTGCATTTATACATATATGAGACCAGTGACAACTTTTCATCTAGATAAAGCCATAGCAGTGTTTTATACTCTTGTCACTCCCATGTTAAATCCAATTATCTACACTGTAAGGAATGCGGAGGTTAAAAATGCAATTAGAATGTTACTGAGAAAGAATTCAATCCTAGATAATAAATGATATAATATGAATATGTTATTTTTGTACTTCCCCACAACATTGCTTGTTATCCATGAAAATTAAATTTCTAGATCCTCAGTGGTTCCTAGAAGCATTAATATTATTAAACTCTACATACATGTATCTATTATAAATTATTTTTTAAATTAATCACAATAAAAATTCAATACAACTAGTTAAATAAAAATTATACTAGCATATTAAACAATATTTGTACTTTGTGACAATTATTTAGTGAAATCAGGGTCAATCAAGCACAAGGACTGTGACACAATTATGCTCATGCTGGTACCTCAGTAACTACTTAAACACTGAAAATGATTAGAGTGCACATTGTGAATATGAAGGTCTAGTATAAAATTCTTGACCTAGGTTGTACCCAGTGTGATGATATGAAGTTTCTTCACATGACAAATGTGGTAATGCAATTCCAATTTATAAATTATTTCTGGACCTTTCCATTTAATATTTTAATGATTTAATATTTAATTTGACCCCATGACTATGGCCAAATGGAGATTACTGTACCATAAATTCTTTCCTAAGTGCTTCTTATGACCTATGTTATGATGATACCTATTTTACAGATTAAATAAACTGTAGTTCAGAAAAGTGAAATAACTAGACCAAGATAGTGAGAGCTACTAGTTACATTCACACTCTTTCAGATTTAAAGTAGATTCTCTTCAACCTTTCAAATGGTGTAAAATGCAATTTTGGGGTCAGAAAATTCTCATGCTGTATATAGTTCTATTTTGTAGCTTGAGAGTTGCATCTTGTACCTTTATACATGGAGTATTAATTCTCAAACTGTACTATCTGTGAGCATTTGTGGTAGAAAGAAATCCAATTTGGAAGAAAGATACTTGACAAAATTTCTTCTCTTGCCTTTTGTTTGTTCTATCTAACTTGCTTTATTTGAGTTTCTTTTAGCATTGGATTTAAGTTGTTTTTCTAAAATTGTTCATATTTAGTTCTATATAAGCGATTTAAGTCTAAGCCTATAGTATTATTACCAAATAAAATCATTAAATCTGATAATTATTTAAAAGGGAAGAGGTACACCAGCTTTGAACCCAAATATCCCTTACTCCACAACCTATGGATTTTTTTCTTCGATGATATTCCTTATCATTAGTTTTAAATTGTGGTATAATGTATAAGATACATTTTAATTATGTTATAAACAGTGTCACTTATTGAATTAAAATCATCAGTGGCAATTAAATGCAGCTGTTTTAAAAAGTGCAAGAATCCACATTAGACAATTTTACATTTAAAGAGTAAGTTTTATGTTCAATTCACTGAATGTGGAATTCTCTCCAAACCTTTATTTTAGGACTGTAGAGATGGCCCAGTTGTTAAAAGTACTTGTTGCTGCAGTAGAAGAACTAGGTTCACTTCCAGCACCCACATGGCAGCTTACAACCATATGTAACTCCAGTTCTAGGGGATCCACAACTCTCTTCTTGTGTCAATGGGTACTGCACACAATGGTCCACTTATGTCATTTAGGCAAAACACACACACATAAATTAAATAATTCTTAACAAACAAATACTTCTTTAGGATGTGGGTTATAATTTCCTCCAACAGAATACAGGAATATTTATTCTATGGTTGACCAAAAATGCTTTATACCTAAACAATGTACCTTGCTTATAAGATTCTGTTCTGATTAACTACTGGAGCTTTATAAAAAAGTAGTCTTTGTGCACAGTTCAAATGTGTATTCAATAACTGTCTTTACTGCCAACTTTTACCTGATCTAGTTTTTGGCCTTTGGCTGGAATCAGTGGATTGTGTGCTGTATCAATACTTACATAGCATCACGAATATAGAGGTACTACATAGAATAAGAACAAAGGCATTGTATTGGAGATACTTGGGTTTATTTATCATTCTGCAACTATCTCTTATCCATTTACTTCCTTTAGTTGATCCTATCCCTATAACCTATTTATTCAGATTACTTGGAAGGTAAACACATTCTGTGACTCTGTCTGTGATAGCATATTCATTTATTTATTTTTTAAGTTTTTACACAATATATTTTGATGATGCTATTTCCCACTTGTAACTCCTCCTAGAACCTACCAACTGCCCTATGCCTCATATTTCATGTTATTTCCTTTCTTTGAAAATCCCAAAGATAAGAATTATAAAACCAAAGCAACAACAATAGCAACACATATACACAAACAAAATAAAACAAAAACCTTGGAGTCTGTTTTGTATTGGTCAGCTTCCTGAGTTTGGGGCTTGCCCTGGAGTGTATTTGGTATACCCAGTGTCAATTCACTGGAAAAAAAATGATTTTTATACTAGCAGATATCAATTGAAAATGGCTTCTGTATATAAATGGGACTTAGCAGTGTTCAGTATGTATGTGTTCTAATTCATGAAGTGGACCTTAAATTCAATTTTAAAGAAGTGATTGGTTACTTCCATAACATATATGCCTCTATTGGACCAGTGTAGGCTGACTGGATGCTATTGTAGGTAGCAAGGTTTTAGCAAGGTGAGACTGATTATTACCTTTCTCTTCTGGTAATATGTATGGTACCTTTGAGCACCATGAAAGCTATGATTCTTCACAGAAATTGAAGAATGAAATGCTTTTCATCAATTTGTTTAGTTCCATGTAAAAGACTGAGAATAGATTTCTATCACACTGCAGAAGGTCCTGATGGATCAATAACCTCAACTGGATACCCTGAATCAATATATTCATTTCTTTATATATCATACATGTTCCCATATCTGCTGAAAGCAGGAAGCTTGGATTGTTTTCTAGAGATTATATGCAACAATCAAATTTGTGTCTATAAAGCTTTCTCATTTTTAACAACTTTATACAAACTCTCAATATTAATGAGGTTTTTTTCGTTTTTTTGTTTTTTTGTTTTTTTGCCTGGGAAATGCTCCTCTGCTGACTGGAGGGTATGAAACTATACATAAGAACATTCTGGCAGGCAATCAATTATTATAGTAGTTCACAAATTTGTCAAACATCATGCTAATACCTCAACTAACTTCCTTTTGAATTTTCTGATACTACATTTTCTTTTTATAAAATTCTTGTTTTCTCCTCAATGTATACAATGTACAATGATTACATTTCCCTCTAATTTCTCCAGATCCTCCTCAATATGTCCCATTCTGAATACCAACTGTGTCTTGATCTGTGTTTAAATCTATATATATATATGTGTGTGTGTTTAAATATATATATATTTGTATCTTCGTATCTTCGATGGCTTTTTATTTCCTTTCCTTTCTTTTCTTTTTTCAAACCAACTCCTTGATTGTTGCTCTGGAACAAGACAATTTTCCTTGGAGCTCTAATATTTTCTTTTTTAAAAGTTTTCTTTATGGGTTATCACTTATTGGCCATTATAACCTCTGTCCTTTCTCTAATTCTTTTTTATAAATATTTTGATTTTATAATTAATTTAATTTTACATATCAGCCAGAGATTCCCCTGTCCTCCCTCCTCCCACTCCTGAGCTTGTCCCCCAGCCCATCCCCCATTCCCACCTCCTCCAAGACAAGGTCTCCCCTGGGGAGTCAGCCCAGCCTGGTAGATTCAGTTGTGGCAGGTCCAGTCCCTTCCTCCCTGCACCAAGGCTGAGCAAAGTATCTCAGCATAGGCCCTAGGTTCCAAAAAGCCAGCTCATGCACTAAGGACAGGTTCCAGTCCCACTGCCTGGGGGCCTCCCAAACAGTTCAAACTAATCGACTGTCCCACTTATCCACAGGGTCTGGTCCAGTTCCATGGGGGCTCCTCAGCTATTGGTTGATAGTTCATGTGTTTCCACTATTTTGGCTGTTTGTCCCTGTGCTTTTTCCAATCATGGTCTCAATATTTTTTGCTTATATAATCCCTCTTCTCTCTCGCCGATTGGATGCTGACTGGATGCTATTGTAGCTCCACCTAGGGTTTGGCCGTGGATCTCTGCATCTGCTTCCACCAGTCACTGGATGAGAGTTCTATCATGACAGTTAGGGTGTTTGGCCATCTGATCACCAGAGTAGGTCAGCTCAGGCACTCTTTTGACCATTGCTACTGCCGGTTGTGGTGGCACATGCCGGTAGGATTTGCTGAAGGAGGCAGAGGCAGGGGGATCTCTAATTCTTGTTACATTGGGGAACATACTATAAAACAGGAATGTTTATAATCTCTCCATCCATCCCTGCAGCTATGTAAATACAGAGTTTGTGAACAATGAGCCATCATGAATTGATATTAATATTTCATTTGATTGCCAGTGACCATCAAAAACACACCTGCTCAATCTCCAGTTTGACTCTTTTTCATCGCAGGACTTCAAGTCAAATTTAAGACATGTTTACAGATGATACTCAGTAAGATACACATTCATTTAAGTTCTTTAGGTAATTTCAAAGCTTCACTCAAACTTGTTTCAGCTATCTCAAAGACTCTGATGAGACTAAATTATTCATAACTAATCCAATTAAGTTTAGTCATGCCATCTCAGTTTTGTTATTTCCTTTCTTTACCTTGCTGTATATTATTCGTATTGACTAAATTTTCTCAAGAAAATAACACTTCAGCCGGGCGGTGGTGGCGCACGCCTTTAATCCCAGCACTTGGGAGGCAGAGGCAGGCGGATCTCTGTGAGTTCGAGGCCAGCCTG